AAGTGAGGAACGTTTGATAGCGTGGCCGATTAGTTGTTAAACTTGGTATTATATTCTTAGGGGAAAACTTCTAACACCAATTCTAAGTACAACTATTTATTAGTTAACACAATGTCATGGGCACATTAATAGATCAATATATTTACGTTACTAGACAATGACTCCCGGACACAAACATGAAATGGATGCACTTCCTACCGTAAGTAACCCACCCTATGGATCGCTCTGACAATGACTCACGTGTGACCTGAGGGTGGCCCAGCGGCTGGGGAATCTGTCTTCAGGTGCTGCTGAAGAGAATGGTCCCAGCGGATGCTGGCCTGTGTCTCCTGTGAGGGACTCTGCTAGCTAGGGAGGGAAGTCCCCCTCCGAACCTCGACTTGTGAGGAGTGTGTCTCCGTGTGCCTCTGAGTTCTGTCTCTCCCTGACTGTCCTAGGGAAGGAGCTGTCTGCCCCTTATATTGACAGTGTCAGGCCGGCAGATGTAGTCACTAATTAACACTAATCTGGGTGTATCAAGACAGCTGTGTTTGAACAGGTGCCGACTGGAGGGTAGTTTCTTGAGTTAACACGGTCTGACGCTGGTTTGACTTATCACACGGCGGTGAGAACTCAGGTTCATTGTGACCGTGACCTGTACTGGGTCAGGTCTTAATCACACTGGGTACTGTAGGGTGGGTCAACTTACGTGGGTGTACACCTGTGCTTCCGGTAGCTGCTATTTTATGTGCTGTCCTTCTTTGGGCTGTAAAGCTATGGTCTGATAAACAATCACTACACCTCCCGCCAAGACCAAAGCTTCCTTACCAGAGAATTGATGACACATATACTGTAGACAGTGATTGTGGTAATATCACGTGCAGTATCTAGAATGGCCCCTGAGGAGGTTATGCTACCTCGCGTTTTGCAAACAATAACCACCACCTATCGGTAGCACTTCCCTCATTGTTTTTCTACTGGCTTGGTTTGATCTGACAAAACTCACTATAAAAAGGTATTTTCAGTTTAGATGAAATTCCGTCGATAAACATCGTGTCTGGGGTAAACATGAACCTCGTGACGTCACCAGACCTGGGCGTGGTGAAGCTGGTTATTACGGTCTCTGAAATAGTTTGTTTACACAAGAAAAAATGAAGTACAGTATTGTTCTTTATCATTTCACATATTAATATTGCTACTTAGTTATTAATATTCGTTTTTCTATTTTAATTTCTTAATCTATTTGTCAGTTAATCAATAATTATTTATTTATTTTTATATGCAACACTGAAAGAAAATTTGTTTAATTGGGTTTCATGTCACTTTGTTTTATTTATTTTGTTTATAGAGTTGAACCGAGGAATAGTACACATTTATTCCGGCATAAAATCTGAAAGACAGAACCATTAAAATTCAGTAGTGTTGTGTGGAGGGTTGTGGAGTCAGGGTTACGACACATAACCAACACGCTTGTAATATATCCTCAGAGATTTCTAAGTCAAGATTTACCCTTACACGTAACTGGCACTAAGAGAACTCATCTACCCACGATAGAGTTTTGGTGATATTTTGACACCCAGCATCGTATTTCAAGTCAACCTGTTAAGAGAGAGGAATTAACGTAGGAATGTTTGAGGAACCGGACCTGAACATCAACAGAGAGGAGAGAGGTGATTGGCTGGAAGGTGAAGCGTCGACTAGAATGTAGATGTGTTCTAGCCAATGATCCGCGTGCCTGGGCCCTCCTGTATGGTAAATCTCAAATGAATTTCAAGATTTTTTTATCTCCTGCGGTCGTAAAATCTTCTAAATTCTCCATTACTCTGCACGATGGCTCCACTTCTGGCGTATTGGATGAATGAGGCAGCTCTGTAGACGGATTAAATAGGGAATTTACAAGCTAGACCCAGTAGGGAGGATATTAACAAACATTGCCTGGGAATATGGTAACTTGGTGTCTATCCTTCAGGCAATTAGAATACCATTGGTTGTTGGTCACACACACACTGCCCGGTGGTTTAGTATGTCTTATGCAGGTACCCAGAATAAACAACAGGGTGGGTACTGTAGAAGCGATGTGTACTGTAAATTTACAATAGTCTGTGTCCATTTAGATTCTTACGAGGAAAGTTATTCAAATGGTCGTATCTTTTTCTCTCTGTTATCACTTTCTTCGTTACTTTGTATGTATATATGTATGAAAGTATGTATGTATGTGTGAAACACAAAAATTTGCAGATCAGCACAAGATGCGCGAATTTTTCAGTTCCACTAAAACATTTTATGGGCCAATCACTCGTGACGAAGCCCCCCCCCCCTCCACTCGTCTGACTGTAGCTCCACAATTAAAGACGATGGAGGTTTCCTTCAGCGATGGAAAGAGCACTACCATTCACTGCTCAACCGAAACGCTGATGTGGATGTCCTGACTATCCAGCAGGTCCCTCAGCATCCAGAGCTGACACGTCTCAGCTATACTCCATCCCTGGATGAAGGTAGCTACTGCCATCAAACAGATGAAAAATAACAAAGCCTCAGGGCCTGATGGAATCCCAGGAGAGGTGTACAAAGTAGGAGGACCTCTGCTTACCAGCCATCTCCACTCTCTCCTGCTTCAGACACACCTCCACCACCCATCCGGCTTAACGGTACTACCCTCTCTAATGTTACCCACTTTCGGTATCTTGGCTCCCACCTGTCCACCACCGCAGACATTGATGAAGAGATTCAGCATCGGATCAGATGTGCATCTCAAGCCTTCGGCAGATTCCGAAACCGTGTCTTCAGCTGTAGGGAGCTGAAATTATCTACAAAGCTTCAAGTATATCAAGCAGTGGTCTTCCCCACCCTGCGAGACATGGGTCACATACAGGAGGCACCTCAAGGCAATTGAAAACTTTCACCAAAGTAGTCTACGTTCCATCCTGTGAGTTCGCTGGGAAGACAAGAGAACAAATGCCAGTATTCTTGTTGACACCAAATGTAGGGGCATCGAGGCTACCATTATCCATGAACAACTACGCTGGACTGGTCTTGTTACCCGCATGGTCGACAGTAGACTGCCAAAGCAACTACTTTACAATCAACGAATAGTTAACGTAATGTCGGCGGGCAATTGAAAAGGTATAAGGATAGTCTTAAGACAAACCTGAAAAAGTGCCAAATCGACCCCCTCACCTGGGAGTCGATTACTCCACATCCTAACGCTTGGAGGAGCACCACACAAGGTGTCAATACTTTCGATTTAGTCCGACTGCACACCGAGGCAGACAAGCGCCAACACCGGAAAGACGCTGCCACCGTCCCTCCCGCACTAGATGTAGCCCCCCACATCTGCAATCGACTCTGCCGGTCCCGTATCGGCCTCTTTAGTCACCTCAGAACTCACCAACCTCGGTGACATCCTTAATAGCTCATATCATTGTATCAGAGCTGGATGTTCATCATACTTGATTCCGAGTGACTGGAAAGTAGTAGTAGTAGTAGTAGCATATATGTGTACTTGTGTATGCATATAATAGATAGATGACGTGTATATAATTTACTGCAGTTTATAATATATATTTTTTTCACACTAATTAACATTCATCGTAATAAAATAATTCATTATAAAATACAATTAATTTTATTTCCTTAAGTAAAAAAAAGAAATTACATTTTCTCTATTCTCGTTCATATACCAAGACAATATAGCTATGGGGAAATATAATTAATTACACATATCAGAAATAAATTAAATATTAGAAATTAAATATAATTAGATTTAACATAATATTTGTTCTATTACCTTCAGTAGTAACAAAGGATCACCAGTCATACACACAGGCTTTTATTTGTATTTAATTCTACCTAATACTAATTAATTTCTTACAGCTAACTTTATCTATATAATTTTACAGACTATACCATAAATCTCTATCATTTACATCAATTACTGAAGAGATCAATATAATTCATGGTGGTTAGTGTACAGTCTGAGTCAAAGGTTCGTCCCCTCCCAAAGTGAAGCAGCGTCGACACCAAATGAGATTAAACACATCCCCATCAGATGTCAGTCAGGGCTCGGAGACTCATTCCCAGTGTCTCAGTTTCACTCCGGGAGAGAACTTTTGTCCACGACTATACCTTAATGTTCTTGTGCACCTAAAACAGCACAGACCCACCCGTATCTGACACCGAACAAAGTGAGCCAATGTTACATAATATATTACAGTTTAAGTAATGATATTAAATATTGGGAAAAATCGTGGTCACTAGCAACTCCTGTTAATGCTGATGTTAAGCGTGTAACTAGGCTAGTAAATCCACGAGTCTATCAACAGTTGAAAATTTAAGTGATTACTACTCTGGTATTGGCGACTCCACATTATAAAATAAAGTTCAGGGGTGCTGGAGCCAGGCTTAAGGCAGTGCATGAGATAAATCACAGAAAGAAAACAGTTCCTGAGGATAAATTTGGTCTGTTCTTGAGGTCAGGAACATCTTTTCTTATATTCAAAACTCTTAAAATACTGAGTGTAGGTGTACAAGAATGCTATAGTATTACCAACTCAGGAAGTATTAAAGGCAAAGTTTATTATTATTTAAGTTTTAACACCTATCTTATCACGTCTATAGTATATATACACCAGTATAAAAGTCTATATAAAGTTATATACAACATATTGTACGAATATTAAGTTGTATAGGTTAAATATTTTATGTTAAATAGTTATAGAATTATGTTGTAGTCTCTCTCTCTCTCTCTCTCTCTCTCTCTCTATTCACGTCGAACAGCAAAGGGACCAGTTTAAAGAAGCCAGGAAACAAGGGAAACACGCGACGTTCAGTCATAAAACCCTTGTTGTGAGGGACTTTCGGGCAAGTGGACACCCGCCCACTCACCCACCCGCTGTACCAGCCCCCCTCCACCAGCCCCTCGATAACCCCCTCCCCACTAAGGGGGAACCAGCCACTGTCGTTATCACCTGAGGAGTCCCCCCACCCCCCTGCCTCCCAATTCGGGTACTGCACGTCTACCCTCTGTGGTAAACCAGCAACCCTCAACAGTACCGGTCATCTTAACTCTGTTGGTTGTAGCACTTGTGAGTACGTTATAACTTTCTTTGACCGTCCTTTTTCACACTTCAGTGACCGTGAGTTTTTGCTGTTCCTTAATCAGTGTCAACATTCCTACACTGATGATGCTAGTGTCATTCCCTTAGATTGGTTCGAAGAATTCAGTGGCTCCCAAACTGGGGATGCGTGAGGTGGGTACAGGGGAGGCGTGAGCCATCTGCCAAAATTTGCCATTTTTAGCTCAAAAAGAATATAATGAAGAAACTCTTTCAGGAGTAACTCTCTCTCCGTTTGAATCTTCCACACATCCGTACAAAACCAAAGTATAGCAGTCACCCCTATCCTTCTTCACCTACACTGACGGTGGCGCCAAACGGTACTGACGGTGGCGCCAAACGGTACTGACGGTGGCGCCAAACGGTAGTGACGGTGGTGCCAATCGGTACTGACGGTAGTGTTATGTGGTCTTGGGAGTCATTGAGCACAGGTGTTGGCGACTTTATCTCGCCCAGTGAGATAAACACAAGGAGATAAAGAGAAGTATGGTGGAGAAGGTGACTGGTGAGGGGGAGGTGTTGCCACAGGTACACAGCTTATGGTCCTCCCTCATTTTGCTGGCGGCAGTGATGGTGGCGGTTGTGGTTGTGGTGGTGGTGGTGGTAGGAATTCGGCTTCTCATATCTGAGAAGAAGAAAAACATTGTAAATCACTTAAATTTTGACGTCAAGTTTATAATTAATGAGAAATATTTACATTCTTATCCAGTTTACAAAATCATGTCCTCGTTTATTTTATTCACATCAAACAAAATATTCGTCATGACTTCATATACGAAGTGTAACATATGGTGTGTGTGTGTGTGTGTGTGTGTGTGTGTGTGTGTGTGTGTGTGTGTGTGTCACTATAATACAGCATTTAATAAAAAAATTCCTCTTACACTCTTGTCCTCCCTCAGAGACTGGACGAGACTCAACCAAACGGATGTCGGGTTGAAGGGAGGCTGCGTGTCCTGGTGTGGTAGCTCCTGGACACACTCTTCCACCACACCCCTGACCCTCCTTCCTCCCCCTGCTAAACTTCTTAGGGATCCTTCGCAGGGCTGGACTGGTTCCTGAAGGCGGCTCGTCAGTGTGCGTCGAGACTTCAGTGTGATCCTCATTCACTTCAGCATCTACTCCCTCAGGTAATGGGTCGCCCTCATCTTCAAATATCGCCTCCACCTCGGTAGCTATAAAGGCCAAAACCTCCTCCATTTCCTCGTAGTCTTCGTCTCCTCCGGCTGCTGCATCGACCACGTCATGTCCTCCTGCTGTATTCGGCAGCTTCGTGGTGGAGGCCTTTAGAAGGCGAGGTTGCTGACGATTAGGTTCTCCTTCTTCGGGGATGACTGTGATGATAGTTTCCTCCACCGTCTCCACTCCACTGTCCAGTGAAGTAAGAGGTTCTTCAGGCTTGTTGTACCAGCAGTTGTCCCCTTGCCAAACGGGCTGCAACCTCGTCAAGTCAATGCCGAGCTCCTCGAAGGAATTATGACAAGCCACCACGGACGTATTCGTATGCTTAGGAGACCTGGCCAGTGTAGAGTAGATCTCGACCTTCATACCCAGGAATTCGAAGCAGGAGTAGACGCAGGCAAAGCTGACGTAGTCGGTGTTGATGATGTGGTATGGCACTGGTGGTACTGTAACGCAAGACCCAAAGTAAGTTAACACGTGACTTTAACGTACTTTAATCAGTTACAGCGATACAGAATTAAATTATCCATCCATCACAGTGTAATAAACCAGTCCTTAACCATCAAATGTGTTATTAAGATAAATACGTGCAATTAATTTATCTCTCTCTCTCTCTCTCTCTCTCTCTCTCTCTCTCTCTCTCTCTCTCTCTCTCTCTCTCTCTCTCTCTCTCCACCAAACAACCTCCCCACCTACAGATACATCAGTCAACCATCAATTTATCGCTCATTAAGAACCTGGTCATTTTTCTCACCATTAGAGGAACGTATTTGCAGGTAGGGTCGGGGCTGGGTAGGGTCAATAGGCTCTACCTGGGAGATGCTGGTGACCTGCTGTACGAGGTCATTAAAATCGTCCCACCCAATACTGGTGGCGTCATACTGGCGACCTGAAACCACAAGTGAGAGAGCTGTAAAAAAGTTGTTGAATGGCAAGAAAGCAATTTGATATGTAGTGTCTGTGTATTAAAGGCGAAGAAGACATCAGGAGCTTTCCTCCTTCCCTGGATGAGGTAGCTACTGCCACCAAACAGATGAAAAATAACAAAGCCTCCGGGCCTGATGGAATCCCAACCAAGGTGTATAAACCAGGAGGACCTCTGCTTACTAGCAGTCTCCACTCTCTCCTGGAGAATATATGAAAAAAGGAGAAAATCTCCCAAGCTCTTAAAGACGCCTCCATCGTTAATATTTATAAGAACAAGGGAGAACCGGTAAGACTGAGGCAACTACCGCAGGATCTCACTGCTGTCCTTAGCTGGCAAAATTATCGCCTGAGTCCTACTAAACAGACTTCTCCCTGAGGAAGAAAACTTCCTTCCAGAATCTCAATGTGGCTTTAGACCATCACGTGGCACCACTGACATGATCTTTGCTGCCCGCCAGATACAGGAAACGTGCAGAGAACAGTGTCGTGACCTGTACATGGCCTTCATCGACCTAACCAAAGCATTCGACTCGGTCAACAAGGAAGCCCTCTGGGGGATCCTCAACCGTTTTGGCTGCCCACCAAAATTCATCGCCATCGTGAGGCAACTCCACGATGGCATGAACGGAAGTGTCCTGCAAATTGGCACCCAGTCTGAATTCTTCCTCATCCAAACGGGGGTAAAACAAAGGTGTGTACTGGCTCCAAATCTCTTTTCCATTTTCTTGGCTGCCTTTTTTACTCGTGCCAGTGCCATTTTAGCCGGCGGGGTGGCCATCACGTTCCGGATGAAGGGTCTTTTCAACATAAGGCGACTCCAGGCAGGAACAAAGGTGTCTGTAGCTTCCAATACTGAACTTTGGTATGTAGACGACCTCATCCTTGTCGCTCACACAAAACGCGACCTACAGGAGATCCTGATCACCTATGCAGATACATATGCGCACTTCGGCCTTGAGGTGAATGTTTGTAAGACTCAGATTCTCTTTCAGCCTCCCCCTGGTTCAGCAACACCTCCACCATCCAGCCTGCAAACATCGGATCATCTGTGTATCTCAAACCTTTGGCAGACTCGGTACTCATGTCTTCAGCTGTAGGGAGGTGAAATTATCTACAAAGTTGCACATATATCGAGCAGTGGTCCTCCCTACCCTGCTATATGGCAGTGAGACATACAGGAAGCACCTTAAGGCACTTGAAAACTTTCACCAACGTAATCTACGTTCCATCTTCCAAGTTCGCTGGGAAGACAAGAGAACAAATGCCGGTATTCTCGCTGCCACCAACTGTAGGAACATCGAGGCTACCATTATCCATGAATAACTAAGTTGGACTGGCCATGTTACCCGCATGGACGACAGTAGACTGCCAAAGCAGCGACTGAAAAGGCATAAGGATAGTCTTAAGACAAACCTTAAAAAGTGCCAAATCGACCCTCACACCTGGGAGACGATTACTCCACACCGTAATGCTTGGAGGAGCACCACACAAGAAGGTGGCAATACTTTCGAGTTAGACCGACTGCATACCGAGGCAGACAAGCGCAAACACCGGAAAGACGATGCTGCCGCCCCTCCCGCATTAGATGTAGCCCTCCACACATGCAACATCTGTGGACGGCCTCTGTAGTCACTTTGTAACTCACCATCGAACGTGACATTAATAACTCATATCATTCTACCATAGTTGGATGATTGCCATACTCGATTCCGAGTGGCAGCAAAGTAGTAGTAGTAGTAGTCGTGTGTGTGTGTGTGTGTGTGTGTGTGCGCGTGTGTGCGCGTGACTACTAGCCCCAATACAGACAATACCTAATATTATGCTAAAATAAATCATACCGGTATTCATTCCATTTTAACACTAAGGAATATATCAGAATTAATCTCACTCACCGTCCCAGATAAAGTTGGTTTTGCTACATTGCTTCACATCCACGTACGTATTAGGTACCTGCTCCACCTGGTACCACACCCCGCTGAACTGTGGAAGAGGGTACAAGGTGCTCTGATACAGTGTCGATTGACAGTAAAGATGTAGCATATGGGGATCACCTGAAGATTAACCTCCCTGCTTATTTCACCTAATGATTAAACACAGTAACGCTACCTGGAGAAGTTAGGTTAGGTTAGGTTAGGTTAGGCTAGATTAAGTAAGGCTAGTTTCGGTTAGGTTAGCATTATGGTGGGTACTCGTAAAGTGAAATAAATGGGAAGGGGGGATAATCTTCAGGTGATCCGCATACTGTACACTAAGCCTCTGTACACAAGTATGGGGCAATGGGTGTCCTGGAATCGAACCAGTGACTCTTAGAAAAATAAAAAAAAATGGTGTATCCACTCGGTTTCCGCACTCCCTTGTGAGGATTATAAGTGCATTGATCTTTACCTTTGAGAAGTGGATGGTGATTAGACAATTAGCGTAATGAATCGTTGTCAACCAATCATACTGTATGATGAATTACAGACCACAGTAACTTACGTCAGGCAGTGAAGCTGGTCACTTAATTAAATATATTCTTCTTAACTACACATACTAAATCATTACATGATACTTATTAATGATGACTTTATTACTGTATTACTGTATATTATAGTCTTACGGGTCAGGTGTTTGTTTACAGGTTCATATAATACATACAGTATGCATATAAGTGTGTAGGATCTTCCCCTACTAAGAAAATATCAGTAATTTTTTATCTAGTTTTCTACACCTGTTTTATAGTTATTGACACTGTCTGTCTCTTATCTTGACTCTTCTCTCACTGTGTTTGGTGAATCAAGGGAAAGAGAAACATATAATAAAGAAGGGAATAATAAAGAAGTGCATAACAAGTATAGAAAATGAATAAAAACAGATGGAAATAATTAATCATGCCTTCCATAAGACTCAGCAGGACTTTACCCATACCGAGTATTATAGTGTTAGGTAAATGAACTATAGTCCTGGCAATACAGTAGACTCAAAGACATATAATTAGGGTATGAATATTTTTGAGTGGAGTATAATGATGTTAATAACTTTTACAGTAAGTTGTCATCCATCAGATGTCAGAGAAGGATGAAACTCTGTCCGTTGCTGAAGTCACTTGGTCTTTTAACTGAACAGACACCTACAGCAGAACTACACTACGCTAACAAATTAAATAAGTCTGTTAATATCCAAACCGATTTGTGTACGTAAACGTCTCTGTGTTTACATTTACGTTTCTAAGCGACACATGCGCAGGTGTTTACAAACATAAGAACATAAGAATAGAGGAAACTGCAGCGGGCCTATTGGCCCATACTGGGCAGTCCCGTTTACACCCAACCCCTATTGCTCATATGAGCATCCAACCTATGTTTGAAGCAATTCAGCGTATTAGAGTTAATGATGATATTTGGTAACTTGTTCCACTCATCCACTACTCTGTTTCCAAACCAATGTTTACCTATTTCACGCCTAAATCTAAATTTGTCTAATTTAAAACCATTGTTACGAGTTCGCTCCTGGTTGGATAGTTTGAGTACCTTTGTAATGTCCCCTTTGTTCAGCCCTGCCTTCCACTTATACACCTCTATCAGGTCGCCCCTCGCTCAACGTCTCTCAAGGGAGTGCAAATTAAGATGCTTTAACCTGTCTCTATACTCAAGGTTCCTAATGCCCGGGATTAGTCTTGTCATTCTCCTCTGAATTCTTTCCAAGGATTCTATATCCATTCTGTAATACGGTGACCAGAACTGAACTGCGTAATCCAGGTGTGGTCTCACAAGAGCAAGATACAGTTTTAGGATGACCTCGCTAGTCTTGTAACTAACACTCCTTTGTATGAACCCAAGTACTTTATTAGCCTTGTTACGAGCAAAAACACATTGTTTACTTGGCTTAAGGTTCCTACTTATCATTACTCCTAAATCTCTCTCGCAGTCGGATTTCTATGGCATCGTTGTTCATCTGGTATCTGGTTTCCCTGTTTACATCTCCTATACTGAGTACTTTACATTTGTCCACGTTGAATTTCATCTGCCATTTTTCAGACCATTCGAAAAATTTGTTTAGATCTTCCTGTAGTTTTGCCAGTCCTCGTCAGATTTGATAACACGTCCTATTTTAGTGTCATCAGCAAATTTACTTATGTTGCTGTCTATGCCGATATCTATGTCGTTTATGTATATAATAAATAATAATGGTCCAAGTACTGAGCCTTGGGGAACTCCACTTGTGACGTTGCTCCAATGGGACTTAGTGCCGTTAATGCTCACTCGCTGTTTCCTGTCCTGTAACCACGCCCTAATCCATTTAAGGATGTCACCTTTGATGCCATGAGCTTCTACCTTTCTAATTAGTCTTTCGCTCTGTCGAAGGCTTTGCTAAAGTCGAGATATACCACATCATAATTGTGCCCCTCGTCCACCGATTCGAAAACTGATGAAAAGAATGTTAATAGATTAGTTAGGCAAGAACGTCCGCTTGTGAAGTCATGCTGGGAATCATTGATCAATCGGTGCTTCTCCAGGTGATTTCGAATAGAGTTTGAAATGATTGCTTCCAGTAATTTGCTTACTATTGATGTTAGACTGATTGGGCGGTAGTTAGAGGATAGTGATCGAACCCCTTCTTGAAAATCGGTATTACATTCGCAATCCTCCAGAATTCTGGTACTACACCTGTTTTTAATGACATGTTAAACAACTTTGCTAAGGGCATACTAAGCTCTTCCTTACATTCCTTTAATACTCTGGCAAATATCTCATCGGGACCAGGTAACTTATTAGGCTTTAGTTTGTCTATTTGCTTACTAATATCGTTACCAGTCACTACTATCTTGCTTAATTTGTTTTCTTCACTATCTCTGAATAGAGTCGGTGCCTCGGGTATCATGTTTAAATTTTCGGTGGTGAAAACTGTTGAAAAATATTTATTCAAATTATTGCTCATTTCTCCGTCGTTATCAGTGAGCTCGCCGAAGTCTGACCGTATTGGTCCAATCTTTTCTCGTGTTTTAGTTTGATACATTTGGTAGAATCCTTTGGGGTTTGTCTTCGCCTCCCTTGCTACCCTTACATCATTATTCCTCTTTGCTTTCCTTATCTCGGTTTTCACCCTACTCGCCAATACCCTATAATAGTCCCGGAGGCGAATTTCGCCACGATTTATCCTTCTACCTATAGCCTTCCTTTGGCCAATGATGTTCTTTAAATAATTATTTATCCATTTAGGGTCATTGTTGTCTGATCTGAGTTTTTTGTGTGGTATGTTCTGCCTTTGTGCATTAAGTAACTCACTATTTACATTGTCGTGGAACTCGGCAATCTCAGATCTCGTTATCAGGTCGGTGTCATCTGTCAGGTTCACAGCCAAGCGCGACACCCCCTCTCTCAGCTGCCTCTTTAAACTGTCAAAGTTTGCCCTTCTGAAATCTGGTACTTTAGTGGAATTTTCCTTACGTCTGCCCTGAAAATCTAACTGGAATCGAATTTCTTTGTGATCGCTGTTTGCAAGTTCGTTCCCTACCTCGACATTGCTAATTAGGTTTTCTCTGTTCGACATAACTAAGTCCAGTATATTATTACCCCGTGTGGGTTCGGTTATATATAACATAACTATAGCACCATAACAGGCTATATTTTATCCTGTCAAAGTATTTTATTTCATCCACCATACGCGTACATTTATACATATATACCGGTATTTTTGTTTTAACTTTGTGATAATTTGGAAGCTCGCTTGAATCAAACCGCCAGGGTGACGATAGCTCAGCCCATGAATCAACACTTGAAGGGCAGCCTACGGTGAGTCAGCTAAGGTGCCTCGTTCACACTACAAGTATGAAGTACAGATTTATAACTTCGTGTTAATACTTAAATTTTAAGTATAATAAACGCCGTGCTATACCGAGTTACTTTAATTTAAATGTTTAATAACGTAATAATGTTCCACTGACTGGTTTATCGTTTCGTTTAGCTTACCAAGTCTTCCATATGTTAACGTTCTATTTCTAAGCGTAGTATTTACATAACCAGACTCAGCTGTGACTAGAATGTGTTATATATATATATATATATATATATATATATATATATATATATATATATATATATATATATATATATATATATATATATATATATATAAATATATATATATATATACCCTGTATATATATAGGTAGAATGTTATTTGTTATATATAATTATATTGAATGTTACTTAATGTTTGTTTGTGTCATTTGCGTGAACATTAATCTCATAGGTCAGACACCAACACTCACGTCAGCTGTACAGTTGCTGGGTAGTCCTCACAGGTAAGATTATTAAGATAGACTAAGAACAGGTGATAAGACGTGATTATTTCAGGGTTCTAAGGTGGTACAATACTCTTACTGTGTGTGTATAAAAATAATAATAATAATTAACGGTTTTTTGAAGAAGTTCTGCAGCCCGAAGGCTGAAAATATACATTTGGAAAAAATGACTTATTACATACAAAGACATGGGGTGGGTGGGTCGTTTAACAAAAGCTTTCATTACTGAAAGGAGAAGGAACATGAATTGAACATACAAATTATTATAGTTTACAATTGATGGCCCGGGCTAGCCTCTTGCCGTACTGTGTGAGGTCACATGACGAAAGGAATCAATAAAGGGGATATAGATAAAGTTCTTATAATATCCGAGCAGAATAGGACTCGGAGCAACGGATTTAAGTTGGATAAGTTTGGTTTAGGAGGGAGATAGGAAGGGACTGGTTCACAAATAGGGTGGTAGACGAGTGGCACAAGCTTAGCAACTTTGTAGTAAGTGCTGGAACGCTGGAAAGTTTCAAAAGGAGGCTAGATACATTCATGGATGATAGAGAGTGGTAGTAACTCTCGACAGGAGCTGCCATGCACAGGCCAACCGGCCTATTGCAGACTCCTTTTTTTCTTATGTTCTTATGTTCTTATGTCTCGTGGTTCAGTAACTCGTCCGTAGGTGTTGACATGAAAGACCTCACGTGGT